CAGACTTTTTTATCTGAAACTCCCTTTTTTAGCTTCAAGACATTCTGTCTTGTCTTGCTGTCTTTAGCAGCCAAATGGTTGTCATCCGTCATTTATATCACCTTAGAGATATTTATAGATTTTGATTGCATCCCACTGGACTTGTCTGTCTTACATCATATATATTTGGAGCTCTCTTGATAGAGTTTGCCTTGTAATTCTTGCATATTTTCTGCTATAGATTTTCTCTAATTTGTTTATACTGTATCTTAAACCATGGGTACAAAAATAGCACACGGTCCCACCAGGGCTTAGTAGTCCTACCCAGGCAAAACTCACTTATATAAGGTACAATTACCATATTGGGGGTAGAACAGGCCATAACAGCAGAAGTTTCTACTTGGCTAATATCCAGCAGTAATCTCTCCTGGGGGTAAGGAGTCAACCTAAATAGAGAAATCTTTAGAAAAAAGGGGATGCAATGAGGTCCTTTGCAAACTTGCTTAATCTGGCATCAGTAAGAAGCACATCTTAAAATCCAGATTGAAAGCTTCACCAGCGGGGATCCAAACTTGAAACCATTGTGATGTTTTTAAGTAAAGAAAAACTTTTGGAATACACTAATTGCATCAAATCTCTGGCAGGTTTTGAAAAACCTGATTCACCAAGAACTCTGAATTGTAGCATTTCCTTTTTTTTTCAAAAGAGGGTTCTTAATCTGTTTAGGCTTCCATTGCAGACTTTCTTCCATCCACAGAAATCCCTCCCATCTGTTCTAGTATCATTCGTTTACTTAATTGACTTATTTTCTCTACATACTGATGTGACTGAAATAGTTTGATCTGATTTTCCTTTGCTTCTGACCTCACTGTTACACTGACTGTCAGTCAGTTAACTGACTTCAACTGTTACACTGTTGAAGTTTGTAACTGTGATCAACAACGCTGGTTCCCTTTGCTATTAAAAATCACTATATACTGTAGTCAGCATGATCAATATTCTAGCAGAAGAATCCCAAACACCTTAGAGGTCTGTCAGAGGAGAAAAATGTTTTTCCCCAGATCCCTTCCGAGTCTGATAAAGCAGTCAGAAGAATGAGCAATATACTTACTTGTATTTCACATCCGTATACTTTTTTTTCACTTGGGAATGAGATTGAAAAAAGCCTAAGAGTAAAATTTTAACAGTACCTCAGAGTATGTACATGCAATAGAATATGATACAAAGATTTGCTAAACCAACATCTACCTGCCCTGAGCCAGGTAGGTGGCTACTAGTTTCAGGGTAGACTCAGTTTGTGGGAAATCTGGCTGTCTACACAGTTTTCTGTTGCATGGTATTGAAATGCTCTCAGAAGTGGAGATTAAGTCGGAATTCTTAAATATTGCATTTAGGAGCCTGAGGGCATGTCTAAAATAGATTTATAGTTTATTATTAGCATTTCATTTTACAGATGACATGGAAGAAGAGGGAAGAGGCTGCAAGAAAATTCTCCCCTGCGGGTTCAGTGATGGGATTTACAAAAGCAGTTTTGTGCCTAAAGGTGCAAAGAGGTGACCAGGGGGACTTCCAAAAGCAACTCAGTGGGTGATGTGCCCAATCTCACTAAAATCTGAAACAAGTTAAATTCCAAATCTGTTCAAGTGCTTTTACAACACCAGCAAAGAACCTCTTTGCACTGTGAAACATCTAATTATCTCTAGAAAATGGGCCCCAATTAGTTGCAGATGGCCAGCTAAAGGAAAAGGGATGAAATGTTTTGCGTTTGAACAAATATATTCTGCTTCTGGGTGAGGAAAGGTTTTGGTTTTTTCCGAGTAAATTTTCCAGCTGTAGCTCTGACTCAAGTTACTCTGGCTCTGCTGTCTGGGTATGGCACTACACAGCAATAGTAAATAAGGCCTGGAGAGTGGCAGTCTCCATGGAGGGATTATTTACCCAGTGACATGATGTGTGCCTTCCCGCGGTGATGCCACCACGTCATTTCCTTACCTCCTTCCCTATCACCATCTTCCCCTGGGGAGACGGGATGATGCTCTCTGACGTGTCAGCAGTTCATCTTAAAGAGGGAGCTTTTAATGAGGTGGTGCCAAGCTAACGGGGCTGCTGCCTATCATACACACTGTCACCGCAGATTTTTTTTTTTCCTGTGAATATTATGTATTAGGGAGCACTGGGAAAATTATACTTACTGAAAGAAATCAAAAGAGTCTAATTACAGTGATTTTTATAGAGAGAGCATGTCAAAAGGGACTGATATATAATTATGATAATATCAGTTGCAACTCCTGTGCTATCTAATTACTTGAAATGGGTGGCATTGTGCAATCTTTATGAAAGCAAGCTACTTTGATAACAAAATGATATAATCTTAATATGAAGTAAAAATAAAATTGAAAAGAAAGTAAAATGAATATATTGGTAGGAATAATAATCAAAGAGGCAGCACTCAATATGCTGGAAAGACAGTACAAACAGAAACCCACCAACCATCTCCAACCCCAAATCTGTGCTACACGTTTGACTCACACTGTGTCAGAAACGGAGATATTGTGTGTGTTGCCTAAACTGGTAGTCAAAATCAAGGCATATCACAGAATCACAGAATGACAGGGTTTGGAAGGGAGCTCTGGAGATCATCTAGTCCAACCCCCCTGCCAGAGCAGGTTGCACAGGATGGCGTCCAGAAGGGTTTTGAATGTCTCCAGAGAAGGAGATTCCACAACCTCTCTGGGCAACTTGTTCCAGTGCTCTGCCACCCTCAAAGTAAAGAAGTTTCTCCTCATCTTTAGATGGAACTTCCTATGTTCAAGTTTGTGCCCACTACCTCTTGTCCTATCCCTGGGCAACACTGAGAAGAGCCTGACCCCGTCCTCTTGACACCCACCCTTTAGGTATTAAGTCGCCTCTCAGTCTTCTCTTCTCCAGACTAAAAAGACGCAAGTTCCTCAGCCTTTCCTCGTAAGAGGGATGTTCCAGTCCCCTAATCATCTTCGTAGGCCTTTGCTGTACTCTATCCAGCAGCTCCCTGTCCTTCTTGAACCCAGGAGCCCAGAATATTGGCATGACAAGAAAAGAGTCGTAAGAAATGGAGGAAGAAAGGACTAAAGAGAGGAAAGATAAATAAAAATGGGAAAGAGCATAAACCTAGTAATCAAAGCGTTAAACTCTACTGGAGTTTTGAGTGCCTCCAGGTGTTGAGTTTGCTCTGGATCCTCTGATGTAGTTTAAAACCTCAGCTGCTGCGTAGGTGCTGGACCCTCCTGGATTCAGGCATTCAGACATCTTTGAGGACTGAGGTCTTTCTATTTTGGTTTCACACTGGCTGTATTACACTGATAAAACTGACAGCAATACTTGATATAAATAAAATATGAAAGTTATTCCTTTAATTTAACATATATTTTGTTCATCACAGATTTAATTTAATTGCCCAGAACCCATACCTACTATCACATAATGCCATCTGTTGACAAATGACCTGGACACTGGAAAAATCTAATTTTTCCATTCATTAGAAATGAAAATTCTAGCATGTTCATGCACAAGCCCACGGACCTGCTGGTAGGTCCATGCTCCTAATTATGGTGTAGCCTAGAAAAATCAACATTTACTTGAACAGTGACATCAACAAATTGTCAGTTATTAGTGGTTTCCAGATTTCTGTGGCCACCATGGGCAGACATCAAAACTTTCATGGACTTTCACGGATACTGCATTATCATCAGTCTTGTAATGGAAAATAAGAATGAGTAAAAGGTTTAGCATTATTCTATTGACTATCTGCAACTCATTTATCTCAGGTACTGCAGTTTGGATCACTTCAAGCTCTTGTCATCTCATTTAATAGCAAAGAAACAATCTCATTTATAAGTTAAGTTTACAAATCTTTTCTAAAATTTTAAAATAAGAAAAGTAGAGTAGAAATTGGCTAGAATCCCTCATTTACTGCAAGTTTGGTAAATACCTTTCAGGGAGCTACTTTTTGTCTTATGCTCACTTAAGCCATCTGTTCCCATGAGATCATACAGAATGAAAGGGTCTGCCTTAACTATCCATGTCTTTTGAAATTCATTATACTAATTCCTCATTTAATCCATTCTTTGCTTTTTTTGGTACAAGAAAAAAAAAACAAAAACTTTTCTAACATATTAGGTTTTTAACTGTTATGCCCTTTTCAAAAAGAAAACTGAATATTTGAACTCTTCCTCTGAGTTGTAACCTCACAACCACTTGCCATATACTCTGGTCTGTTCTGCCGTCTGTAACAGATGAATACTGCACACTGTTCACTCAGTAGCATTTAATACAGATTGTGACTTAGTCCCCTGGTCATGACAAGTTCTACGGAGGCAGTTCTACTCAAGTTCTTCCCTGTCAGAGAAGCTTTCCTCATACCTCCATCCTAGCAGCTTCCTGGCCTCTGTGTCTGCAGTGACTCTCCTTTACATAGTGCTGCTTGACCTAGTCTGAAGTTCACTGACTTATATTTAATATCCAACTAAATTCCACTGAATTAATATTTTGAATCTCTGCGGAGATTGCCTTTTGCTTCTTTGTATAGCATGTTGGTGTTGAATGCCAAGGGGACAAAACCAAATCTGAGTTTTTGAAGGCAGTCATGGTTTTCACTGACAAATCTGTCTAATTACAATAAAAAATGTCATAACCAAATAACTTGAGAAAGAAGAATAAAGTGCTATTTCAACTTTGCAATCATTTTATATGTTACTTTGTTTGTTAATGATGATTATCCAGTTTGCATGGCTGAAATACTTAGCAGGATTTCCACGCAAGACTGTAAAGGTTTTTTCCGTTCGGGAATTTTACTTGATGAACTTAAGGTATGAGAAATAATATAGGGCTTATCGTGAAACCTGTTATCTTTTGAAAGAAAGAAAGAAAAAGCCACACCCACCAACAAGAAATAAACCAACAAAATATCCACTGACTGCACTGCTGCCCAGGCTGGCAGAGCAGTCTCAATCACATTTCCAGCACCTACCAGAAGGCTTTCTTACCTTCACTGCAAACTCTGTTTCTGTGGCTTTATGAACACATCTCTTGCACACTGAATAGGAGCCAATTCCTATGTCCTCCTTGATCTCGTATCCATCTGTAAAGTGAATGTTGTTCCCGTGTAACTGCTATAGGAAAAGACAAAAGAGACAAGGTAATCAGGACATGTGGATGTAAAAAGCAAGGACTAGCCTTGTCTTAGTAAGGGAAGCGCTTGATCTCATCTCCTTCACGTAATTCTCTTGCCCTTAGTAGATTTTTGAAGTTTAGTTAAAAAAATCTGAAGCTCCTTACTTAAAGAAGTGTGTCCCCTCCCTTTTTATCTTTTTTTCAGTCTGTAGGACAGAGTTGTCCATGCACAAGTAATGGAAAAAAGGCAGTGATTTTCTAAACTATTTAGGGAATGCAGACAATCACCTCCTATTAGAGATTCACAGGAAACTGTGGGCAGAAATCTCTCGAGAAACCCACATAACTTGACAATATACACTTATTTCTAATTACTGAGGGCCCAAATAACTTACAAACCACTAATAGCTTCACAAGCTTCAAAACACATACCCCACATATGGGGTGGGCCTCCAGACCACCAGAGGTCTTGTCCAGAATACATTTAACTATGATTTCTGTGTGAGAGAAAAGTTACTATTTTGAGCCAACCTAACTTAAGAAAATTTATTACTAGTGAAAATAGTAGAAAAATAAATTAAATTTTCTAATTTTATTTACTGAAGGGTAAAAATTTAACTGTGGCATGATTAGTTCATATGCCCTTTGGAAAACATGTGGGCAGGCAGATTGGTTAGGTGGTGAAACCCAGACCTAAGGCCTTGCTGCAATCTCCATCCTGGGACTCAAGAAAAGACCAGCAACTCTCAAAATCCTCTATGATCCTCTGTCTAGAAAATGTATCCTTGCTAACAAAGTCTACACAGAACCTTCTATGTGCGTTGCATTCAGTACATTTTTACAAAGCTAACCACGGGAATATAGATAAAAATTCTGGGATGTAGTAGCTTGGGTAACATTTCACCTACTGTTGTGTAAGAGGATCTTTAAGAATATGACATATTCTGCTCTAAATTATTAATATAGACATGGAAACTATGAAAACCTACAAAAACCATAGGCAGGGGCTCTCCTCTTGAGGTACGTATACCTCCTGCTGTGGGTAAGAGAGGAACTTTTTCCTTGTGGGCAGAATTTTCTGCATTTTTGAGCATCCCAGTTCTCCCTCCCAATTGACAGTCCCTCTGATGCACTGAGCCATTTGTAGTACTTTCTTTCCGGTTTGAATTGCAGTAACTGGAGAGCACGTTGTAGGGGAATAGTAGCAAAGAACCAAGTGCCTGGCAAGTGTCCTTCCCCCATCAAACTGCTCTGAGTTATGTGAGTACACCCGGGCTCTTGTGCAATAGCAACAGGAACAGGGAGACCCCTCACACCCAGGACCTTGGGCTCTGTGCCTGTGGGAGCCTACAGTAGTTCATTAAGCCCTTTGCCAACACACACTGTATCATACAATCCAAGGCAAAACCGTTGAGAATGACGTGCATTCACTTAAAAACCCCACTTCATTACCTGCCCTGTATGCACAGCTGGAATAGCGTTTCAAGTATTCAGAAGTACTTTAATTTCAGTTGTGATAAGGTGCAGTTCCCATTTCCTTTGTAAAGGCTGTGGAGAACGTGAACTTAAAGGTAAAGGCTTTGGGAAAAAATTCTCATTTTCCACCTCCCACATGCTGCATGTAAACACCTCCTACCTACACTGGGTAGCTGTGAAATACCAGTGAGAACGCCGAGGCAGTTTGAATACACGATGTGCATATGTATCTGCCTATCAAACGTGAAGTGTAACATCAGCATCAGTACCTGCACAATCGGATGGACGGTGATTTTGTGCACATCCTGCTGTGCAGGCTCTTGCACCAAGTTAGAGGCAACGAAGCTGAACCCTCTGAAAAGATGATGAGCATTGGCGCTTGGAGGAACACCTGGGGAATCTGTCGGAGAAGGAAGAAAATGGCCTCATGAGCTGCACAAAAGATCAGAAAGTAATAGCACAGCTTCTGCAACAGACAAAGTCACCCCTGCCGGTCAACAGCAGATTCTGCTAAACCAACAGACACATGTGAATATAATACACCTTCATATCAAGGCTTTGGTGTGCCTTCTCCATCCTGTTCCTTTGGAAGTGAACAGTGCAGGGGTATTTATTGTTTGCAAGGATCTCTCCTCCTAGATACAGGGGGTTTCTATCCCAGTGCATATTCATTCTTTGGCAAAGCAGTACCTGTGCCAGGAATCCACACAGAGAGAAGGCACAGGATGGCAAGGCTACAAGAAAGATGGATGGCTCAAAGCAGGGCACCCCTTTGGCTTCACAAAGATTTTCCAGGGAGTGGAAAAAAGTTGCAAACTGCTATATCTGTCCTTCACAGAGCACCTTGACTACAGACATTACAAAGGCACTTTAGTGCTTTCTGGGTAATGTGGTATGTTGTATGGCTCAGGAGAATGTAGAGAAGACAGGACCTGAAGCAAGTGTAAAAGTGTGATGCTCCAGTAGTGGTGGCTTGTGGCCTCATAAGGATCTTTCTGGAGCAGCTTTATGAGCTGGGACTTACTCGAGGGAAGATGCTGGTTGACTTGTCCTCAGGTGAACAAAATGACTAGGAGTGTTTTAACTAAATTTCATGGACTTTTTCTCCCCACTCCTTCCCTTGACATGTCAAATTCAGGGGAGGAATGGCTGTAAATCAGAGCTCTGAATTCTACGTTTGGAATGAAATTACTAGAGAGCAGTTCCTGGTAGCTACGTCCCTGCTCAGTGAGAGAAACAAACCAAGAAGAGAAGAATTGCACTTCACTTAAAATTTTGAAAGGCTTTAAAGAGATCTTTCTACCCAGTATGTGTTTTGTCCCAGGCATTTTCATAAGCAAGAAAGAGTTGCATTGCAAACCATTCCTTGTTCTGGGTATTATAAAACCTATAGCACTAAAGTTTGCTCAGCTTTTATTTGTTCTTTTGTTGGGTTTCATTATTTTTCCCCCTCCTCTTCACATTTCCTCCAATGCAATAGGTGACTTAGCATGGCAAGGTTACAAAGCTAAACTTTCTTTAGAAAGCTATCTCCTTGTAGGAGTCTGTAAATAGCCGGTTTCAGTAGAGTAAAAATATATCCCCACTGGATCTTATGTCTGACCCACCGGCCTACACCATCACTGTGACCCATTAGTGTCTAGGACAATGGTTGTTGGAGGTCCTGAAAATATGTGGGAATGTGTTTCCTTCTGTCAGCGTTCCCTGTACAAATCCACTGGCCAAACAAACAGAGGATCTGAAGCCAGAATATGGTAAAAACAAATTATCTGCTTGGAAATAAACAAAACTGATTCTATATCTCATTACAAAGCTGCCTCAGCTTTGAAAGGAGTCAGAAATATACACAGCAAGTCAGACCTCACTGCAAAGTACATTGTCTTTTGGTAAAATGACGTGGGCTACTTGTTTATCTCAGTGTATTGGCGGGCACTCTCCTTGCAAATACATAGATGAATCACATTAGACCTCTTGCATCACTGGGTACTTCTTACAATGGCATATAGACAACAGTGATTTTCCAAGAGGGATTAATTAAGAGGAAAGAATGCTTGCTTTAAAAAAAGGAATGACAATAATTCAAATCTGAACACTCCTGAACTTCAGAAAAGCTGTGATCCGGCTCTAAAACGTAAGTGCTAGGTCATCTCTATTTAAAAATAACTGTTCCTTCGCAATTTACTGCCAACCTCTTCATCGAATGTTGTAGAAGACAAACAGATCATTTGGTGTTCCATATTAAATATTCACCACCAACAACTGATATGCCCATTGTATAAATTAAACATAAAAACGCCTGTGCAAAATATGTTTAAATACCGTTAATTAACTGATAGCTATGAAACCGAAATAATTTTCCTAGTCTTGATAAATCCAGAATAATTTCATATGTCTGAATTATACCCAATTGCAAACACCAATCTTGTATAATGGTTATCTTTCTCCCTGTGAAAGTCATAATGCTTTATCCCACTAGAGCATCTAACTTTACAGGATTTTCAAAGGCTTCATAAATCTTAAGTAATTTACTTCAGTACACTTCACTGGGGTTAGCAAACATCGTTATCTCATTTGCAGAGGAGGAAATTTAGATACTTGAGGCGCAATTTTACATATTTTTCTCAGCAGTAAAGCAAGCCTAAGACATCCCTGCTGGTTACAGCACACTGCCACATCACTTACAGCAGAGTATAACCATCTGTGGACTGAAATCTAAGTTGGATCACCAGAATGACCTTGGTTTGTGCCATGTTCAAATCACCATTTATAACCTGGATTGCTTCAGTCTCCTGCTCCCTGTGAGGAGCTGAGTCAGCACAAATGAGATGTGGGTCCACAGGGGTGGACTGAGGAAACAAGTGCCCAGAAAAAGCAACTCCAACTCAAATGACTCCTGGAGAAAAAATGATGTGAAACTATACTCATAGAGATGAACTGTCAATGTCAAAACCCACATCTTTGGCACACTCAGAGCCGAGGTTCGGAATCCACAGAAAGCTGTTTCAATCTTTAGACTAAAGTAACGTTCTGAGATACAGCAAATTACTGAATCGGCAAGTTACTTTGACATAAACCTGTTTCCAGGCAGGAGAAATCATTCATAAAGACAAAGTGCAAAATGACTGGAGGTTTCTGTGCCTCCTCCTTGGTCATGTCTTTCTGACAGCTTCATTAAAATACAACAATGGCATCATCATCATGAAACAGGAATTCTTACAGTGCTTTCTGGCTGGGCATGTTCTTAGTAACAGGGTAAGTTTGTATAAGGCCTTTGTCATGACAGAAAAACCACAAAATAAAAAAGGTTCTTGTTTGATCCCACCACCAATATGGACCAGTATTAAACACTCTTGTGATGTTCTCTCCTTCCGATTGACCCAACCAGTCAAGGGCTGTGAAATATGCTGCCAGTCTGCGAGGGCTTTTCTATCTCTCTGAAAGTGTAAAGGGATTCACACTTTCAATTACACCTATTTTGAAAGACCAGGTTTTGATTCTAAGGCCAGATTCCATAGTAGCATGAAGGAGAACTGAGGTAGGCCATCTCCCCGCCCAAGGCACCACCCAACGACAAATCTTCTGAGTCAGTGCCTTGCAGGAGATATCAAATTGAATTACACAGCAGAAGAAACATGCAGAGTGTAAAATATAACCCTGCACTGCATGAAGTATGAGTGTTTTCATGCCAGTACAACCAATGAAGTGTGAACTTCCAAAGCTATCCAAAATCTCAGTGTTTCTCTGAGACTTTCCAGGGCAGCACCAGCCTGCACTTCTCTCAAGATCAGATTAACCTGCAGCCTCTGATATTTCAGAGAAATGGATTCCTCTGAAAACTGACTAAAAGCTAAAATCAAAGGTGTGAAATGTCTGGTATCCAAAGATCATTTGTTTTAATGAGGTGGGACAGGAACATCAGAACATCACTAATCTATACTGGAGACAGGTGGATGCCCCAGTTAAACCCAAATAATCAGAGTGTAAAATTTTTTATAGGTTGTGAAAGTCAGCACAACTTTGCAAAAAAAAACTAAGAACCAAGACTGTTAAAATACTTTGAATAGACACCATTATTTCATACCCCATGAAAGGAGGCTTGAGCCAGGCTCTGAATAGAGGTTTGGGGTACTTTTAAGAAAAAGGCTGAAGGTCATAAGGCTGAACAAAACCTACAGGAAATCTCAGCTCTGATTTGTGTGCTACAATGCAGGGTTTTTCATAATGAAAGCTCAGATCTTTTATTCTCACTACAACAGTTCTGGGGCAATTTAAGGGTTGTAGCTTGAGACATTATACTTGGTTATTACAACAATACTATGTGATATTTACAGTGTTTACCATCTTCCCAGTGTTTTACAAACAGCAGCTAATTGAATTTTTACATTTTAGAATGTATAAATAGGTACTTCTATCACAGGCAGAAATGTAATATAGTTTATCCATGTCTAGCAAGAGGCAACGTTACAACTGGAATTAACACCCTGAGGTCACTGATATTCTTGCTTTCCACTAAAGGACTGGAAAGATGGTGCTTTGTGCAATGATCACCTTCACACATATAGTGCACAGAGTGTGATATTCCTGTTAGGAAAGAGAAATTCTAAGAACATACTCACTGCAAGGATTTTCTAAATACTAAATATTGTGGGCTAAATTTCCTGTTGGCTTAACTCCACTGATCTAAGAACTTGATGATTCTCCATTATTGTTAACCATTTATTAACCTCCAACAGTCCATAGTCTATGGGATTTCATAATTTAAGAAAAAAAATATGGAATATATAATTAAATACTAACTTGCAGACATACAAAGTTCTTTGAAGTCAAGGTAATTTTAAAAAGCTAAATTCAGCTAATGTAAGCAACGATAAGAGTGATAAAACTGCAAATCAATAGTTATTTTTCCTATTTAAAATGTGAAATCTGTCCTTCCTGGGAAAATTAATGTGGAGTTGATGAAATGCTTATGAACTTATTTTCTTAGAAATGCAAAACAGTCTTTGCTTCCTGCTGGATATTGCAGAACCCAGTAAAGCCACAGGTGATCAGACTTTTAGACCCTGTTGGAACAGAGAGGGGAAGAATTTTCTCACTAAAAAGAGGCATTATCCTTGTGCCACCTTACTAACCTGTGGGGGTCCTAGACGTGAACTCTGGATCAAAATGAAAGGTGTCTTCTGGCCGTCCCACTGCGGGCTTGAACGGTGGCTTGATTTCTTTCCTGTATAGTTTCTACAAGGAGAAGAACAGATCACAATCAACAATCTGTACACCTTCAGCATCTGCAGATAGGCTCCCCTGCTTTGTTTAGGGTGTCTTCTATCAACTCTGTGCCACCCTTGAAGGACTGATGGAAAAGGATGACGTATCCAGAACTCTGGCTTGACTGATTGGCTTAAAAGCTGTGCCCTGGAGGGTCCCTGCACTTTTTAGTTACTGGAATCCAGAATATAAACATAGATGTTTCTGGTAAAAAGTCAGCCCACAGACTGGCACAATATTCCAGCTGGGGCATCTGGAAAATCACTGGCCTGAGGACAAGGACTGGAACATGCAATGGTAACACCGGAAACTCTGTAGGGGTGACTTCAGCAGCGCAGCAACGTCAATCAGCACAACGAACTGCCAGGAAGCAGTGGCTGGTTTGGCATTTATTATTTGTCAAGAACTTGCAATATGTTTGACACTCTGCCAGACTGAGCTGAGCAACAGGCCTGGCTGCCTGGTGCTTACAACCGAAACAAGAGACTTGTTCTTTTGGCATATCTGGTAAAGGGGAAGGGGCTTGAGCTGAGGATCAGATGATTTTCCCATCAAAACGTGTTAGGAGGAAACCACTCCAGGTGGGTGGGGAATCATGTTGAAGGCCTAAAAGTGGCTTAAGCAGAGGAGCAAAGCCAAGGAAAAACATAAGGAAGAGAGGAAGGTCCGTAACAGGCGAGCACTGCCAGGTGCCTGAGTTTGTGCTGGCGAGTGAGGGGGCACGCAGGGCATCACATAAGTAACAGTCACCATAAATGCATGCTGATACTCCACCTTTATTACCTCTTTAATCATACTTAGTGATCTTTAAGACATTGCTACGCTGTGCTCCTTTGGAAGCATTCATACCCACGCGTGCACACACACACACACATATTCTGGCATACAAACACTGAGCTGCAGCATGTCTGGATCTGATCCAAAGCCTGCAGAGGTTAATGGAAAGAGTCCTATTGATTTCAGCCACCTCTGCATCATCTCTGCTTGAAATGGCCAAACTGGAACATCATGCTGATGGCAGCGTGGGGAAGAAGAGCTCCAGTTTTACTCCCTACCCCATGTTTAGTCCCTAGACTGCACTCCCTTTCTAGCAATGCTTTTGTTCTCAGGTTTCAAAGGTCTGAATTAGTTGCCACAGACAGTGCCCAATAATTACCATGTCTGAGCATAAACACAACGTTTCATCCAAACTTTCAAGTCATAATAGGAGCTGGAGAGTTCAATTTTATGACTGTTTGTATTATGTATTTTAGGTTAGCTCTTAAAACAACTTCATAATGAGCTGATTTTCCAAAATATTTAATGGAGATTAATACATGCTTGTCCAGCTTTTTGCATGCAGGAAGATTCTTTTTAACTGTGGGGTTTGTGGTGACTTAACTTCTGTAATACAAAGCATGTGGTCAAACTTAAGATATATACACATCAATATAATTTGAACTTGATTTTGCATAGATAAATAAAGGCTCCTGAGGCAGCCATTCTGTACCATAGTATTAGCATTAGCATAAAGCATATGTTTGTGGTTGAATTATGATTCCCGGGAAAAGTGGAATGGTGAGACTGGAAATGACTCTGCAATAATTAATGGCCATTTCACCATAAAAAGTTCCTGCTTGCGTAAAACTGCTCCATATCTTCTGAGAGAAAAAGAGATTAATAATTGCTGTGAGCCACAATGGAAAGCCAGTCTTCCAAACAATTAAAAGCCAGTTGCACTCTTAGGCAGGAAGTGTCACTCATCAACTGAAAAGTATCAACCTAGTAATTAACATATAGCTTTTTATGTCCTCCCAGAACTTTCAAAGAGAACTCAGCACCTACTGAAGGCTTTTCTGTTGCTAGGATTTCACCTTGAGAAAGCTATTTGCTTCCAGCTTCCCTTTATTTGTCTTAATTCACAACTGCAGTCCTACTGCAGGAAGCGTATGCTTCCTCCTAGAATTAAATGCACCACTCATCCTGTGAGGTCCAAAAATTGGAACATGTTTTAGAGTTGTACATCATTCAGGAACTGCACTCTCTTTTGATTATCGTAACCATATTCTCCCTAGCCTCTTAATTCCTTCCCCCCATCTGTAGTTTCTTAAGTGCTGTTGGAGCTACATTTGTATTTTGAATCCCTAACCCACATCCTCCACTACTAGGGAGGGATTTAAGATTCATCATGAGTCACACGCCACCTAAAGATGTGTAATCACAAATTTGCTTGCTGGGAGGGGATGGAAACAAAGAAGTTGCTTGTGCGAGTGAAAGGCGCCTCCTCTGAGCGCAACCCAGATGACTCCTGTTTCCATTTCCTTTTCCACTTGTGATAAAAATTACTTCTGGTGTTTCTGACTAGACAACTAGGAACAGCAAAAGGTAAACTGCCTACAACTGCCCCAAGCTCTTGAATCGGGTAACTCAATGAAATCTTTGAGCACCAAGAACAAGCAGAGCAGTGTCATCTATGGGCTTTCCCATCCCACACTGGCTCCAGTTCTCGGAGTGAGCCACTACAACCAAAGCCAATTCACTGAAGCACACTAAACCACAGGCCAGCCCAACACAGTTAAAAATGAAGGCTTGCTGCAGGCAGAATTCATCTTCCTTTAAAAACCCACATCCTGTAGACTGCGAAACACAATGTGACACAAGCTGATCTAAGAAAATGGTAAGAATCACAGCCGTCATTTTATATAGACACAGAGAATAAATCTTTTGGAGGATTTGAGATCCTTTGAGATTTTCCAAGAATATTTTTCATATTAGGTGAAATGTATTAACCTATTATCTCTTATGGTGGTCCCCAAACTATCTGGGGCTGATGGATCACCTTGATCTCTTCCAACAGAAATCAACCAGAGTGGCAAATAACATAGCAAGTTAAGTTTCAAATCTCATCTTTGACTATTTCTATCAGGCTGTCACATAACTTCTAGCAAAGTTTAAACAGTTATCTACAGCCCAAGTCATGGTAATCCTGGCTCTGTATGCACAAGCCACTAGGAGTTCCACCACCTATTTTAATAGGACCAGGGTCCCAGTTGTCCTAGTTTAAATCCCATTTTTCATATCCAAATTATTATTTTGGCACATCTTATTAGGTGTTCAAAAGAGACTTCGGATATGTTAGTGTTAACTGGAGCATTTAAATTTCAGGTTGGGTGTTATGTGTGTTATTTTGCACAACTATAAGAAGTTGAAGATGTTATTTTCTTTCACATTGCTTCCCCATCTGTAAAGGAGAAATGTATTCCTTAGCCCTTAATGTTTCATTGAGAATGTAATTTCTCTGTCTTTCCCAGTAAAGAATAACCCCCACATCCCAAACCCGTTTTTTAAAACTGGCCACAACAATGATTTATCGCATAAAATGTGACTGACAGGTATCAGGAATCACTGTGCATGGCTGTCGGATCCAGAGGCTGTGTGGAGGGAGCGCCTAATCCACAGAATGAGGGGGATAAACTCCAAGGTGTGAAAGTCCTGATTTAGATAGTCACACCTGGATACATTATTCATGCTTCTTTCTACTTATCAACCCCTCACATCCTTCTGAAATTTTGATAATCAGAACCTTCAGATTAATAAGTACCTATGAATTCACTAGAACAGAGTTCTATAGCAGTTTGAGAAACTATGAGGTTCTATCAGCTTCCTTTCTGATCTGGGACAAAAAACTTCTTTTTTTTCAAAGAACTAATTTTCCCCTAGGTCTTAATGACCTTTACTTAATGTGTGTTACCAGAGCCCTAATATGTGCTTCATATGAACACCTCCTCAGCTGGGACTCAAGTAATACACTAGGGAGAGTAGTAACAAAATGCTGTGACACGTGTCTGTCTCTTGTTATTTATAAGCAGTTAATTTTTCATCATCTTTAAAAAAATGCACTCTGAAAAAACCCCCAAAGATGTAAACTGTGCATGTGCCTGGCAAGTATCAAGAAAAAGAAAACAGTTTAATTTAATTAAAAACTATTTAGTCATTTCCTCAACTGAGTTTCTTTGATGAAGAATTGAATTATTCCTTAGACACCTCCTGGAAACAGAAAGATGCTACCCTCCACAGTGACGCATTTGAAGAGTGAGAATAAACTCCCTTGATACATACACCTGCTGTGGAAAATCCAATAAGCAGACAAAAGGATGAAGTACCTTCTCAAATGCTTGTTGTCTCCTAGATTAATGACTCAAAGTTATTGCCTGCAAATGATAGAAAAGCTAGCTAGAAAAATTCAGACCCTGGGATCAATTTTTTGCTGTTGGTAAAACCCACAATTAAATAATTCATGTTTTCAGTTTTATTTGATCTCTGATTAATATTGAAAGAAATAGAACTCAAGTCCACTTGCTTCCCACTCTTTCCCTCAGCTGTATTTGACAGTTCATTTTCTAGCATGTCATTTGCTCTAGTTCCAATTTAGCCTGTCAGCTAAACAAAAACTACTGTTTATAGCCCACTCCTCCGGCTGCAGTCTGCAAAAAGGGATTTCATTTTTCATTTTCAATGAAAACCCAGCAATCCTTTATGCATGACCTGGAAAGAAGAAACACTAATAAAAAAAAGCAGGAACCAGACTGTGCTTTCTCAGAGCCAATAACTGAAATTATCTGAGGCCAACTTGGTTTGGGTCTGCTTGTCTTGGGGAGAAAAGGGGTTGCAAGAGTCGTAAGCAGGTAAAACTCAGAAAGAACTGGGCATCTAATCTCCTCTCTGTAAATCCCAGCCTTAATCATGAAAGACAGTCCATTCATTTAACAAAGGATGTGTTGAATTTGCGTCACAGGGCCTGCTAAATGCCTTAGAGCAGCAAGACTGATATTTGCAGAAACCTTCATCTATTTTTCACCCTGGGAAGTGGGAATTAAGGGTTTTGTTACTGGGTGGCACTAGCTGTAAAACGAGAATGTTACAGAGATGAGCTCCTGCCAACATTTAAGTTTGGGCACAAAAGCTCTGTGTCAGATTGTCCACTTAGTGGACAATTAGTGCTACTCACACACCAGACGTTAAGCCTAGGGTGGCTGGAGATTTGTGCTGAAGAATGGCACCCTGGAACATGGGAATGGCATCTGGGAAAGAACAGGAGGAGGACAGTTGTTCTTTGGCCACATTCATGTTTTCTGGGATTGCACCTACTGCCTCTGCGTGCAGTGGTCATCAGCGCTCCTCTGCTTCTCAGGAGCATCTGCCGCATCGTAACAGGGGGCTTTTTTTACTCTGAATATTGTGTTTCCACTGTGTGTACTTGCCTTCATCTAAAGTTTGCTGCCTTCAGACACTATGTCTGGTTGCATCTGATTGAGGACAGTGAGAGATGGGAAACAAGTGGGAAATGACTGCTCCAACAGGTGAACACTTCAGCGACAGAGACAATAACCAAGCCCCAACCCAAAGCCTGAGGAAACAGCTCTGACAGTACTCTGAAATGAAGATGCAATTTATACATTTCTGTCTACGATTCTAATGACCTCATCACGGTGATATCTGCACTTCACACACAACTTGGAAGGAAGCAGCCAACTCATTGCTGTTTTGAATCTCTTTCTAAAATTACATGAAGCAACTTGGTGATTTGTTCCTGGTTATCACATCATTTGTAGGAAAAATCTTGCTTAAAAAAAGACCTATTTCCCACTGGGTTCCTAGAAGACCCGTTCTGACCCTTCGTGATAAGGGGGCCTCGATGGAGGATCATTTTACTACAGTCAGTGAAAGTTTCTATGCAGTCAGTCACAGCACTCCTGTCTATCATAGCTGCCAAGGTAGTATAGAAGCTCTCCAGAAGAGCTTGCCTCTTGCTCTCTGAGGTCTTTATATTACCAAGGTATAAAATAAATCAACATTCATGTCCTGCCTCAACAATGTTGTTTGCTGACTGCCTGCAAATTGATGTGAGTGATTCTGTATACATGATGGGAGAACAAAATGAGGGCATCAGGGACTCTTCTCCTGCAACTGTATAGAGATCAGCACTAAACCTCTGCGCCTGATCCATTTCTGTTCTCTGACCCTGCTCTGTTTCTGCCCACAGAGAACACGTTAGCAGTTGGCTGGATCATCATCACCATCGTAAGGCAAAGCCCTGGCTTCAGCTCTGGGCCAGGCTGGCTCACACCACCCTGAAATGTTTACAGTGGCTGTAACTAGATAAAGCTCCCAAGATCTCCCTGAGTGATAGTAAAATTAGGGTTAAATGAGCAAATACATTACAAAGATGATAGCTGACCTGTGTAAAAACGATCTTTCTGCCTCCAAGAGAGTGCAATAAGCACTAATTATGTTGGATTAAAATGGATCTTTACAGCTACATTTTACAGCTAAGTTAGAGGGCTAGATAAGAAATCAGAGGGCAATTAAATCCACATGCCTCTCTAGCTCCAAGTCATGTTCAAGCATACCTAGCCTCTCTATGCTAGATATTTCTCTAACACGTCCACAAAAAGACAATGTAAAATTTCCTTAGGACAAGCATGAAATTGTTCTCTAAAGAACTGTGCTTGAAACAATCACCAATCAACATGAGAGAAGGTGGTCTTGAGGAATCGCATAGTCCAGAACTGACTTTTCTGAAAACCTTTCCAAGATGCAGAGCCTCATTTCTCTGTGGTGAGTTACTGAGTTGCTCCACCAGCAAACACAGGAGAAACCCTCCCTGTGCTCAAGTGCTCCTTATTACGTTAAGGTATATGCACCTGACCTGTATTTTTGATTGCAAAGCTGAGAACTGTGGAGATATCAGAGGAATACAGAAAATAATAATAGCAATAATAACAAACCCAACTCTTTGGGATTCTTTACTTTTTCTTTTCATTTAAAGATTTCATTCTTTTCATTTAAAGATTTAACATTTTCATAAATGTAAAATCTTTATACAGAATCCCATGATTAGTAAGAAGCAGAAGAGGAAAGAGAATCTAGACTCCAGAATATATGCAGTGGGACTAAAAGTCAGCTGGATCATAAAGGAAAATTTCAAATTCCACTTTCAATGATCATCTCTTAACATGCTTGTGAGTCATGCCAACTCTTTAACATGCAATTTGAATTAGATTAATGAGTTTTTTCCAAGACAAACGATTCTGTGGGCCTTTCAAACGCCACCTTCGCACCACAAAATGTGCTTTCACAGAGGAATTACCTTTATTATAAAGCCCTGGCTCTGTCACATACATTCATGTTGTTTTATCAGAATTTATAGTGAGAACTGCATCAGTGTGATCAATTCAGATCAAATATTAAAGAGAGGTAACAATACCACAACACAGGTAAGGTTAAATTAAACTAGAAAATTCTAGAGGACATAGCAAACGGGAGTTCTAATGCACTGGTAGGTGTCTCAATCAGAAAACAAAATGTGTTTGCCTCCAGGTTTGTCTAAAAATAAGTTGAGCTGAACAAATATGATGCTGAAAATGTGAGAAAGTTTAACCTGTTGCAAATCTAAATTGAACAGTTAGCTAATCTCTACCACCAGCTTTATGAGCTGTAGCTGATAGCAATAAAATAAATCCTTGTTTACCATTCTGTGAATCATGTCTGACACGTCTTACTTGAACCATGTTACATTTGATCAAATGTTTGCTGTTCCAATTTTGAGTGCTGATGTTAAATTAATGACTCACCCCAATAAAACATCAACCACTTGTAAGAGGAGTTGCTGTTTCCTGTTCTGTCCGGTTCACTTGTATACTCAGTGATTTAAAATCGCTCTTCTGAAAATCCATCTATGTTGTGCTTTTCAGTATCCCCCATCGCAATATAGCAGAAGGCCCAGATCCTGTCCTATGGTCACTTAGGCCAAAACTGAGAAGAAGGAGTTGACAAAGCTATCCTGTTGGAAGATTTATGATTCCCCCATCATTAAGTAGCATAACCTGCTCTACCAATACCCAGCCAGTCCCAGTAGCACCATGCTACTTGGGAAAAGAGTGCTCCTGGAGGTCTGGGAGCTCCTTGGAACTATTGGCAGCAAGTTTGTTTAAGAACAGCCCCAGGTCTGCTCTGAATAATTCCAAGAGAGAAAAGGATTCCTGGAGGTCCCTGATATCAGAAAGAATAGACCAGCATCTAGTCCAGCTTGCCCGACCCAGTGAGAAGGGTCAAGAATTTCAATACAGAACGTATAAAAGTAGGAAGATGGAGGGACCTGGAGCATCAGATTGGCTCCCTCTGGAGAATCTCTTTAAAGCCCAGTCCTTTGGCTCTCTTTTCTTCTGCAATTGAAGCATTACAGGAATTCTTTCATTTAAAGCTGCTCATTTTCACTCCAGTCCAGCTCCCACAATCAATGCATCATGTTTATTAGATCTGAATGTGGAAATTATTCTGCAGAATACTGCAAATAGCCTCAGGTAGTGTCGTGATAAGCCAGACCATCAGCCGAAACAGAAACAAGCAGGTAGAAAAAAAAGGCAATGTTGAAAGCATCTTTCTATTTCTTTCATTTGTGGGTGTGTGAAGAAATGTATATATAGAATCATAGAATCATTTAGGTTGGAAAATACCTTCAAGATCATCGAGTCCAACTGTAAAGCTAACACTGCCAAATATGTATGCAAGAGACAAAGGCGCACACTTAAAAGGCCCTAGCTCCCAGGCTCTCTATGTTAGGGTTAATTTCATCTTTTTTTCTAAGCATGGCAGTTTGTCTTCAAAAATTTAGCTAAGAAAAAATAACCAAAAAAAGAAATAAAATTCTGTTTCACTTACGTTCCAGTCAATAGTAACAAAGAAAGGGTGACGTTTAATTTCTTCCACTCCATCAAATCCAGCACCTGACAAGAGAATGAAAGAATCAAAATTAAGTCATGCTTAGAAGAGTGCTGCATGACACATCTCCTCCAGCCTTCCTCCCCACCCTCTTTTTTCTGGCACAGACAGAGTCACCATCTAAACATTTCTTCTAGCCAAGAAACACTGATAGTGCAACTGCCATAACAGTATAAACTACCATAAATACAGATAAGGGCACTTCATAAATGAAAATCTGATGGCTGAGGGTTTTTCACTTTTCTTGAATTGAGGCTGGTGCCAAGGCTGAATAGCTGCTCTCTTCAGACTTCAGAGGAGACGCAGGACTTCAGCTGCAGCAAAACACACGCACCAGCAAGGTCAGGAGAGGCCCCAAGATGTCCTGATACTATGGCAAGGCTAATGCTGCATCCTGCCACCAGCGGCAGGTCTTCTATCCATACTGACTTTCAAATCTTGTCTAATTACCCATTATCCATCGGCAGAGAAAGCTGCACTACAAATAAATTCAGACTTAAAATACCAAAAGGCTCCAAATCGCTTAAGGTAAGTCAGGGTTTTAGGTTCCCCCTTTTCAAATACGGTCTTCAAATTTGTGCGAATACCAAAATCATCACTTTCAGTGGTATATTTCCTACATTGTTAAATTTCTGATACAATGCCATAGGAAATATTGGATATTAGGAAACATTTCTTTACTGAGAGGGTTATCCAGCATTGGAATGGGCTGCCCAGGGAGGTGGTGGAGTCACCATCCCTGGAGGTATTTAAGAAACGTGTAGACATGGTTCTTCAGGGCATGCTCTAGTGCCCAAGATTACTGGTTTGTGGTGGGGTGCTGTGTGGGTGGGTGATGGTTTTTGGTTTGGTGGTTGTTGTTGTGTGTTTAGGTGGTGGGTGGTGGTTTGTGTTTTTTGTGTG